CAGAGACGGAGCATGTCGACACGCGTGCACGCGTGTTCTTCGGCAGGCACCAGCACCACAGAGACGGCCGCTCGATGCCCCTGCTCGCCCAGCACCCCCCAGGCGGGGCACGGGCAGCGCCCAGCGGGCTCGGCAGGAGGCACAGCGGTGGATCGCTCGCAGCGGAGCCGCGGCCGCCCAGGGCAAGGAGGAGGACGCGGGGCGACAGCTGGCGGAGGAGGGGCCATCAACAACCAGAGGCAGGATCCCACGGCGAGACGAGGCCAGCGGAGGAGCGAGGGAGCGGTGCGCCGAGCGGGAGCAGGCCCACCTGGGGCCCTCGAGCGGGAGCTGGGCAGGCTGGTCAGCGGGGGATGAGTGGGCCCAGAAGCAGCGAGCACGGGAGGAGGAGGAGGAGGAGGAGGAGGTTCAGACTTGGAACGAGATGTGGGCATCCGCCTTCTCTCCTCCACCTCCCTCCCCATTGCGTTTCCGCGAGCTTTCGAAACGAGCGCTCGCTTCCGCGAGTTAGCGCAGTCAGGTAGACCCCCAGCCCCTCCAGTGCAGCAGGCTCCATCGAGCTTCTAGTTCCAGGGACTGCATGTTCTGCCAAATTATCTGACGCACTGTGCTCCCCCATCCCCAGGTGCCACGGGCCGCGTCAGGGGGAGGCGAGGCACGGACCAGGTCAAGGGGGAGGGGAAGCAGGCTAGAGGGCATCCGTGAAGGGCGGGTGCCACCCTGCCCGCAGTCCTGTGCGTGGAGAGAGACGGTGCAGGTAGAGCCAAGACGGCATTGGCGTCAGCGACCAGCCAGTACGACTTTCACAACTATACAGCACTGGTTAGGCGAATTTGGCCAAACTGTTTTACACAACTGTACAGCACTAGTCGCTAACGGTGTAGCACCGAGCTGGCCTGAGAGCTCGATCGATCGATCCTCCTCCTCCTCCTCTTCCTCTTCCTCCTCCTGGGAATGTCCAGGGTGCGCCACGTGAGCTTTCGACGTTGAGCCCGCCCAACACGACCCCCAGCGCCCGAGGTGGCCGAAAAGAGCCCTGGCACGGTCCAAGACGTCTTCAAGATGGCTCGCTGTGGCACCGAGGCGACCAACAATGTCCCCAAGATGCTTCAAGAGGGCTCCAAGAGAACCCCTAAAAGGCCCGTCCTCCTCCTTCTCCTCATCCCCCTCCTCCTCCTCCCGTGGCCCTCTTGGCTCAAGCAATGTTTTGCACGAACCAGGCTGGTGCCTACGTTGGCAAGCGGCACTTGCTCCATGCCGTTTCTAAAGTTCTCCAAGGGCCATGGCGGTCAGCCTTCCAGAAAGCCTCCCGCCGGCGACTTTGGCAACAGGCAGTTGCACAGCGCCTTAGTTCCGGCAGCAAGAGGGGCCGTCCAAGGTGGCGTTAACCGAGCTGTGCGAAATGTTGATGGTGCAGATGTCCTTGCGTCGACATCTTTGATCCCTTTGGCGCAGCTGGAGACGCTGCTGAAGGAGGTCCAGGTCGGCGCCGGCCTCGCCGCCAAGCCCAACGTCACCCAGGCCAGAGCCCTCCTGAGGAATAGGAACGCTGGCCCAGTGGCATCGCGCCTCGGGAAACCCAGCAAGCCGAGGAACACTGCTGGCCACCCTGATGTGGACCTGCAGGTGGACAGCGAGCAGGCGTTCGCGGACAAGGTAGACGAGGCGATCGGTGCCGACGCTCCACCACTTTCAGGCGCAGCTTGGCAAGCTCGGCCTGAGTTTGCAGTCTTTTCGAGGAGGAACTGGAAAAGATGTATGTAAGCGCCGTTCGGCGCGAGGTGCAACGACACACAGAATAAGATGGACGGCGCGACCGCCAAGCACCATGAACAGACTCTGGCCATTGAGGAGCTGGACGATGAGACTTGCAAGCTGTAACTGAGGGAAGAGACGATCTACCGCGAGCAGGGCGCCAACGCCGACTAGTTCCGCGACCAGTTCATGGCCATGAGGGGGGCCGTCGATGCCCCCCACGCTCCGCTCCAGGTCTTCGCTTCGAAGCTCATCGAGCAGGAGGTCGACCTGGCGAAGGCTCTGGTAAGGAAGTGGCCCAGTGCGCAAGGATGCGGCGCCTCCTCCCCCCCCCCTCCGCCGAGCCGCGCCGCGCGTGCCGCGGGCGAGCCCCACCGAGCCGCAGGGACGGCAGTGCTCTCTCTCTCTCTCTCTCTCTCTCGGAGGTCGGGTTTTCTGGCTTGCTGGTTGGTGGAAGGGGTCCTGTGCCGCTGGGCGTTGCAGGGTCTGCCCCCTTTACCCTCGTTGCCGGGAGGCTCAGCCTTGTCCGTTCGAAGTGTCGTATCCTTCTCTTCCTCCTCCTCCTCCTCCGCCTCCTCCTCCTCCTCCTTGTGCTCCTCCTGCTCCTCCTCCTGCTCCTCCTCCTCCTGCGTCACCCTTTTCCTTCTGCACAACACTCCTCTTGAGAAGGGGGGGGAACCTTCTGAGCTCCGCGCAGGAGGTGCGGCAGGTGGCCGCCAGTGCAGAGGAGGCACGCGCCGCGGAGGCCATCGCTTCGGGAGGGGCTGATTCCGGCTGCAGCTCGCCCGCTCTGACCCGTTCTGCTGAATGTGGTTATCATGATTCGTAATATTATAAGTAATCGAATTAGCATGTGTATGTGCAATGCTGTTATGTGTAATGTGTAATGTTCTTAGCATGTGTAATGTTAGTATGATGTGTAGTCGCATTTCTTAGATTGACGAGTACTAAGATTAGTACTAGTCGTATCATTGTTATTCGTAGTAGTATTGTTAACATGCGTATTACTAACAGTATGTGTAGTAGTATGTGTAGTATTAGTTTTATATGTATAAATATTGCGAGTTGTAGTATTTTTCGTAGTATGTTTCGTAGTTGAATTACAATTCATATTATTTTTGTCATTAGTATTACTACTACTCGTGCTGTCATTGCGTTGTTGTTATTGTTGTCATCACTCTTATATGTATTACCAGAATTAGTATGGTTAGTAGAAAGGTTACTAGTAGTAGTCGTCGTAACTGTAGTAGTAGTCGTCGTCGTCATAGTAGGAGTAATAATTTCAGTGGTATTATGTTTGTAAGGGCAACCAAAACAATAGCATAAAGACCAAGTCATACTGTGTGTGACTATCGTATGTAATAATAGTGTGAGTAGGACTGGGATGAGTAGTAGCATCAGTAATATTAAATTATTACCATGGTATTATTCGTATGAGTAGTACGAACCGTGATTTTATGAGTAGCATTAGTATTATCAGTATTAGTCTCCGTCTTCCTAGTAACATACTTATTTATATGTGTATTCTTCTCCTTGTTCGTTTTCTCCGACGCCCCCAGGCATGGTCGAGTTCTTACAGTCGGGAACTTTCGGATAGCGCGTTGCGCCGCCAGCTCTGGCCCACCGCGCCTCGTCGCGACACGCCATCCATCTCGCGGTCCCCAAGCGTCCACGTCCTGGGCCTTTCAGAGCCTCCCGCCCCGCAGAGCGGAGCGACACGCTAACCACTCATAAGGCATAGCGCGTCGCCGGGGCAGCCGGGGCGACACGCTAAGCAAAGGTCCCAACCGTAACGCTTGGCGTATCCCCACCAGCGCATCCAGGAACGATGCCAATGGGAGTTGCCCTTACCGGTGGAACACGGCATCATTTGGAGAGCTCGGGGAATCACCGTGGGCCGGAGGCGTCCTGGATGCCACTCGGAGTATCTTGGAATATCTCTCACGGTCTCTTGGAAGCCTCCTGGGGGCCTCCTGGGGGCCTACTGGCGGCTCTTCGGGGCCTCTGGCGGCTCCTTGGGGGCATCTTGGAGGCCTGGGCGATTTTCAGAGCCTCCTGGGGCGTCTTGGGAGCCTCTTGAGGCCCTGTGTCCAACTTCGAGAATACAGGTTCGAATGTCGACGATTTGGGGTGTTTGGGTTTTTCTGGGTCTCGCCGCGGCTGGATCCGCTTTGAAATTCTGGTCAGGACGCCATGGGCCGACGAATGACCCCCAGGCCCTGACCCCGTCGCGTCGCGAGAAAAACGCTACGGATTTTTGTGTGTGTGCCGTTTTCAGCCCCCAGGGGCCTTCGCCAGGCCTTGGGGCCATCAGAATACGGCTCAGAATGGAAAACCAGCCCTTGGGGGGATGGGCGGGACTTCTGAGGGCCCGCATTGACAAAATCAATACATCGGACTTCTGGGTCTGACCCGGTCCGCCTTTTTGCACCCCGCGACCTCCTCATCCTCCCCTTTTCCTCCTCCTCCGCCTCCTCCTCTTCCTTTTCCTCCGTAGCAATTTTGGTTCAAGTCATTTGGCCTCAAGCCATTTGCGGACTCACCTCCTGCACGTCGAGGGGTGCCGACGCACCGAAGTCTCCACCCCCCGCCAGCCCAGAGGCAGGGAGACGTCTTTTGGTTTTGCTTGCGCACACTCCGACAGATCCGCGTACTGTGGCGATTCCGCGCCAGCCAAATCACAACAGTTTTCTTGTAGCCATGGCGACTACTGAGCAGATTCAAGCGACGCTGAATGGAATGCAGGCTTCGATCTCGGGGAGCATTGACCGTCTGCGCAGCACGCTGAAAGCCGAGGTGAAGGACTTCAACGAGAAGATCGACCGCCATGCTGCGCAGATCAAGGTCCTCCAGGACCAGTTCGCCCAGATGTCCAAGGCGGTGTCGGAAGCCAGCACTGCGTCGGGATTCTCTGGCATCACGAGACGGCGGATGGACCGTGCAGGAGCTCCACTTCCTGACACAGGTGCATGCACGAGATGGATTGGAGCATGGCCCAGACCTGTGTTTGCTAAAGTCCGCGAGCCGTTTCACCATTCGCTTGCCGACAAGTTTGCCTCACTCGCAGGGGCACGCATTGAGTGTCACAAAGTAGCCCAGGTCTACATGATCGTGTTCCCGTCGGAGGAGCAGGCCGAGGCCATCACCGCGGAAGCGTTTGCCCAGCCGCTGACGTGGACCGGCCCGCGCACCAACGAGGTTGCCAACCTCCGCGTCAGAGGCGACTTGCCGCTCGACGTCAGAGCCAAGCAGCGCGCCTTCGCCAAGATCTATTTCGGGATACGCTCCATCGTGCGGCTCTAAGTTGGGTGCCAACGGCTTCAAAGGGGTGATGACCACTGCCACACCTGATGACGCACGGAAAATCATCAAAGTTCTTCCCCAGGGGCACGACAAGTTCCGATTCGAGCCTGATGAAACCGCGATTCGCTCATGGGGGACTCATGTGCTGAAGATGCACGAGGTGATCACGGAGGCCACCACGGGCGCCATAATGGAGTGACAGATTGCCCAAAGGATGTTCCAATCGGAGCATGCCCCTCCACTTCTGATGAATGACGACGACCATCGGGAGGTTCTCGCACCAGCCGCGCTACATCCTAGGCAAGTTGGCGACCAGACCGTTCCACCTGATCCGCTTCGGAGCCTCGTGCAACTCCCTCCTGCTCCTGGTCCTCCTCTGCCTGAAGGGGGTCCTCGCACAGTGCCTGGTCGCCCTTTCAGCATAGCATCACGGGATGCTCAGTTCCTTTGGCTCTAAGCACACAGCTTCGTCGAATGGCAAGGCCAAGTTCCAGGTTCTAAAAGCGATTTTGAAAGCTCAACCTGCGACGCTCACCCAGGAGCCCCATGGGGCCATCAGGGGATCTTGAACTCTCGGCCGAGAGTTTCCCCAATCTTGCGCTTGTAGACCGCTGTGTAGTTCGCCCTATGCCGGTGGCAATGGAACTATAGTGTCGCGGCCCCCCCCCATCCATCCTTCTCCGCGCTGGCTTCTATGAGTTTGGGGCCAGGCGAGCATCTGTCCTGACATTGCCGAGCCATCGAGGACGCTTGCAGGTCGCGAGCGCCCACATTGACCCCGAGTGGATTTGGCCTCACCCGCGCGCCAAGTTTACCGCTATCAAAGCCAGATTGCTGACTGCCCAGCACGCGAGCGTCTTCATTGCTGGCGGTTTCAACGACTACGAACAAGCTGAGTCCATGTTTTCGGCTCCCACGGGGGGGGGGAATCCGGCACTCGAGGCTGGCCGATGTTTTCTTCGGGGCGCCTCTTTCTTTGAGTTCCTGGGGGTCAAGCACAAGGAGCTCACCCATCGCATCTCCCAGCACCCCCAAAATCAGGGTGAAGACCCGAACCTTGCAAGGAACATCTCCTTCGGTCGCCTGGACAGGATCTACACCGGCACCCCCTCCGGCGCCATTCCAGATCCACCCCGACAGAGTTCGACGGCCCGAGGCATCGCGGACGCCAAGAGGCCGCCCGACCACGCGCCAGTGTTCCTCAGTATCCGTGATCTCTCCCAGCAGCTGACTGACCTTCGCCCCGCGCTTGCTCGGCTGCTCAGACATCGCAAATTCAGCGAGCTCTTCCCGGAAGCTCACGAGGCCAACGCCGACTTCCTTTCCGACCGCCCCCCACCAAGCTCCTCGAAATCAAGGACTTCCCAAGCAAGCTGCGGCGCGAGGCCCCCTGGGCCCTCCCGCGCTGGACCCCATCAAAAGGTTGCTCCTCGGGCTCTTCGCGCGCCCCCTAAGCTCCGCGACTCCATCCGCGACTCCAGCGACGCGTCCGAGGGCGGGCAACTGGAAGGACGGGGCGGGCTTCCGCGGCCTCCTCGGGCACCCGATGAGAACCAAGTTTGTCCAGGCGGAGAACTTGACCCTGCACGATGCGAGCCTGCCTCTCCCACATGAGGAACCCCACCTGTCCACCTGTGCCGCGCGCGGCGCACGTCGGCTGCGCGGCGCGCCGTTCGGCCGAATGTTTTTGCTGGCAGGCGCGCGAGATGACCAACGGGCTTCCCGCGCTGACCCGCGCGGGGCCGCTGGGCAGCTCAGCGGGTTGTGGCCAGAGGTTCTTGAGGGCCCCAAGCTGCCCCCTGCCCTCGCAGACGGCGATCTGTTGGGGCATATCCAGGGGCCCCCCGATCAGGATGAACAGTGTGCGAGCAGCACCCACTAGCGATTCGATTGGACGGGGCATTTTAAGCAATGCGTGAGTTGATCCGCAGGAAAATGGACTCAGCCGCAGGGGGAAATGGGGAGATGCGCTGTCGCACGGCGAGCAGGCGGCGAGGTCGCGACGCAGGCCATCCACGACGCGCACATGTTTTCCCTGGGCGGCGGCAAGACGCCCAGGGACTTCAACGTCTCGCGCGGCGTCTTCCCCTTGAAAGGTGGGCTCGATAACCGCGGCTCGGAGACGCGGCATGCCTTTCGGACTCGCGCGATCTCGCTCTCGCTCTCGAGCACGGACAGTAAAGCGGCACCTGCCGCGATCGCCTTGCCTCTCGCCCCGGTCGCCCAGGGCGCCCCCCCACTATCTTTCAGGGCGATGGCTGCGCCCGATCCAGGAGCTGCGCCTCAGAGTTCCCGCGAGAATCTCCGGGGGCCCTGCCGTTGCAGGAGGCTTCCAGCGCGCGAGAGGCATTGGACGGGGGGGCCCTGCTCCCACTGGTGATTTGCCCGATCCTCGGGAAGATTTCGTAAATCCAATGCCGGGTGCCATTCTGTCTCGCTGCT